CTATCGTATTTTATAATTTTCTATTGAACTCTATTGCAATAAATTATTTTTTTTATTGCATTTTATGATTTTCAAAATGGCGGATCCAATATGGAGGATATTAAACAAGAATTTCTTTGATTAAAATTAAAAAATTTTTGAAAAAGGTTGCCATATTAGATACGACATTTTGAATTTTCAAAATTGGACACCGGATTCGTAATCAGCGACCCCAAAACTATTAAAGCATGTTGAAATATCAAAATTTTCTATACAGGGTAAATTAAACCATTTTGGTACCGATTTCTGCAATTTAATTAAACCGTAGGAAGGTTAATTTTATTGTAGTTCACTGCAATCCATTGAACTCTATTGTAATCTATTGGATACAACTAAATTTTATTGTTCTTTATTGTAATCTATATGGTATCACGTTGTATTTTATTAAATTTCGAAATTTATCTATTGTATATTTTATTGAAATTGATTTTATTTTATTGTAATTTATTTAATTTTTTTATTTACTGCATTCTATTGTACTCAATTGTAATCTATTGGATTCTACTGCATTCAATTGTACTTTATAGTAACCTATTGTATCACATTGTATTCTATTGAATTTCACAATTAATCTATTGTATTTTTTGTTGTAATCGATTTTATTTTATTGTAATTAATTTTATTATATTGTAATCTATTCTATTCTGTTGTAGTGCATTGTAGTCTATTATAATCTATCACATTCTATTGAATTCAATTGAACTTTATTGTAATCTGTTTTATTATATTGTGGTCTATTAAATTTGACGGTAATCTCTTGTATTTTTTTCTTGTAATCGATTGTATTTCATAGTTTTTTATTGTACTCTATTGTATTCTATTGTATTCTATTGTACTCTATTGTATTCTATTGTATTCTACTGTATTCTATTGTATCCTATTGTATTCTATTGAATTTTACTTTATTTTATTGAATTCAACGGTATTCCATTGTTTTCCTATTGTTATCTATTGTATTCTATGTCCTTCTATTGTAATCCATTGTATTCTATTATATTCTATTGTTCTTTACTTTATTTTACAGTATTCAAGGATATTCTATTGTTTTTTATTATAATCTATTCTCTTTTATTGTATTCTATTGTATTCCACGTTGGTCTACCGTATTCTATTGTTTCTAATTGTATTCCATGTTCTTCTATTGAATTTTATTGCATTCGATTGTATTTTATTGTTTTGTAGTTTTTTCTTAGACCATTTTGTAGTCTACTGTTTTATATACTTCGTTGTAATATATTAAATTCTATAAATTTTCTTTGTACCTTCTTATTTCCTATTGCACATTATAGTACTTTTTTTCTCTATTTAAACAAATTGTATTCTATTGTACCTTATTGTATTCTATTGTACCTTATTGTATTCTATTGTATCTTATACTAATTTTATTGTACCTTATTGTATTTTATTGTACCTTATCGTATTCTATTGTACCTTATTGGATTATATTGTAAATTATTATACTTTATTATATTCTATTATATCTTCTTGTTTTCCACGAAATTTCATTTTTTTTATTGTATTATATTGTATTCCGACATTTTTTTAACTGACTTTTGTGTTTTTACCTATTGTATTAAATCCTTCTATGATAATCTATTGTACTTTATTGTATTTTAATGAATTTTATGTATATTCACAGTATTTTATTACTTTCCAATTGTAACCTATTGTATTTTATTTTACTTAATTGTATTTTAAACTAAGTCTAATGTAGTATATTGTGTTTTATAGTTTCCTCTTCAACTCTTTTGTAATCGATTGTTTTTTTTGCACTTTATTATAATCTATTGTATCTTATTTTATTCTATAGTATTCTATTGTATTTTTTAATGTATTCTACTGTACTTTATTGGAAACTATTTTATTTTATTATTTTCTATCGTATTCTACTATTTTTTATTGCATTCTACTATTTTCTATTGTTTTCTTTTATTTTATATTGTATTCCACTATTTTCTATTATAATATACTATTTTCTATTGTATTGTATTATTTTCTATCGTATTATACTATTTTCTATTATATTCTATTGTATTATATTGTATTCTATTGTATTCTATTGTATTCTATTATTTTCTACCGTATTCTGCCATTTTCTATTGTATTTTATTATTTTCTATTGTATTCTATTGCATTCTATTGCACTCTATTGTAATCTATTGTATTTTATTGTATTCTGTTGTATTCTACACGGTATTCTACTGTATTTTGTGGTCTCCTATTGTATCCTTTTGAATTCTACTTTTTTTCTACTACAATTTATTGCATTTTATTACATTTTATCGTTTTCTATTATATTCTATTCTATTTTTTCAGCATCTATTTGTTATTCATTTGTATTTTTTATATGTATTTGCATTCTGTATTTTGTTTACTGATACGTTATGTTATATATATATATATATATATATATATATATATATATATATATATATATTTCTTTTATAAAAAATATATACTTTTCAAACTTTTTTCTGTTGAAAGATTTTCGTAGGTATGTACATAGACATATATGTATATAGTCCCTTAAGGCAAGAAACTATAGTTTGTCTTCAGAGTGTAATATAACGTTTAAATTAACACGTAACGCTAAGTCATTTAAATTGTTGAGTTCTAATTATGAAGAACATTATCAAAATCGTCTGTTACACACAAAGGGCCATCAGTCACATGCGGCTTAAGTTCTATTCTCAAGAGATGTGTGCGTGTGTTTTATCTCTTTATCCTCTCCTATAAGCTCCCTTTACCTTTCCGTCAAGTTTTAACGACTTACTTCATACTATATATATATATATATATATATATATATATATATATACATTCCCATCAAAGCTTATATATACTCAACTTGAAGAAAAAAAAAATTTCCTTCTTCTTTTTTTTTTTGCCAAAGTAACAGGTCTTAAAACGCGTCCAACAAAATTGTTCGAGTGGACAAATAGTGAGTGGCGTGGGGGGTAATGCCAAGGAGCTCAAGTAAAAGGATAATAATAATAAATTATTGCTACGAAAGTAAAAGCTGCTGAAAAAAAAATGATAAGACTATCATCATCTCGTCTACGGAAATATTGGTTATGAAACTTTTGGATAACTGGAGCACTTTGTAAACTGCACGCAAACTCATGTACATATATTATATTATAATAATTATAATATTTTACATACTTTATTGCTTTTATTAAAGATTATACATTTTTAATTTTTAAATCCATTATTACTATTATATTTATTATTGTATAAATATAATAATAGAAAATAATAAATTTAAAAATAAATATTATAAATTTTATATTATAAATAATATAACATTATAAATATAATAATAATAATAATAATAATAATAATAATAATAATAATAATAATAATAATAAAAATAATTGTAAATTAATTAATTAATTATATATATATATATATAATACAAAAATTAAAATAATATTATTCTTTTATTTATAATAGGCATTGAAGCAGAACGGAGGCGAAACATATATAAATTCATTACTATTTAGTTGAAAAGCAATAGCATTAATGAAATCAATATACAATATACTCTATATAATGTATAATACAGTGTATGAGAAAAAAAAATATTCAACCTCCGAACGAAAATTTTCTATTCATTTTTGTGTCGGTTAATTGATAAATAGCGCGCACGAGTTCTTGACAAATAGTGACCTTTTTTTAAAGAACCGCAATATCTCAATGTAATTAACGTTTACAAAGTTATTCTTTTGTAAAAAAGAAAAGACAAAAGAAAAATTTAATTTCTGCATAATTGGCATATTTAATATAAACACTATTTTTTTATTCTTTCTTCTATTCTTCTTGATTGCTAAAATTGCAATGGAAATGTAAATTTGAAAAAATATTTCTTTTCTGTTATTTTTTAAAATAAATTAATTATTAATTACATATTAATTATTTTTGAGTGAATATTTGTTAATTTTTATAATAACGGAAAATAAACTTAAAAACAGCGTTAGTAATATGGACGGAAAGAGACAAAAACAAAAACAAAAACAAAAACAAAAACAAAAACAAAAACAAAAACAAAAACAAAAACAAAAGGATTATTAAAACGCTAAGAAAAAAACCAACAAACAGGAACATAAATACAAAAACATTAACATAAACAAAAAAATAAACAAGACTAACAAAAACATAAACAAAAATAGAAACTAACCCAGTAGCTGAAACATAAACAAAAACATAAACAAGAACAAAAACAGAAATGAAAACAAAAATAGAAACAAAAACATAAACAAAAACATAAACAAAAACATAAACAAAAACATAAACAAAAACATAAACAAAAACGTAAAGAAGAACAAAAACAGAAATGGAAATAAAAATAGAAATGAAAACAAAAATTGAAACAAAAACGAAAACAAACAAAAACACAGACAAAAACATGAACAAAACCAGAAACAAAACTAGAAACATAACCAGAAACAGACACAAAAACATAAACAAGAACAAAAACAGAAATGGAAGCAAAAATAGAAACAAAAACATAAACAAGAACAAAAACAGAAATGAAAACAAAAATAGAAACAAAACCAGTAACAAGAAGATAATAAAGAGCAATAAAAAAATAAAAACAAACAACGAAAAAAATAATTGTAAGGAAAGAAAAAAAAATATCTAAAACATAAAAAAGCAAGAATTAAAAACATGAAAAATCATTTTAACCATAGTAATAATAGAACGTTATCTTTTGAATAGTAATAGTAATAATTTTTAAAAAATGGTCAATACCTTACGGTTAAATAATTAAAATTGTCCTGAAACGAGAATATAATAGACAAAAAAAAAAGAATCTGAGAAAAAAACTAAAAATTCCACATGGGAAAATCGTTTTTCTTCACTCGATTATAGCTTCGGGAATTTTCGTCGCAACTTCGGTTTCGCGTCACTTGGCGGGTTCTTCTTCAATCTTGCGGCGCGTTTTAGTTCAGTTTATACTCGGAACCTCTCGCATGTCGTATTCCCGGAATCGGCTTGTTTCAATAATCCCAAAAGTAATTCTTTTTCCTCTCGAAAAATTCGGAATTCTTACATATTTCATAAAAAAACAATTCTATTAACTACATTTTGTTAATTAAAAAATTTTAAAAATATTATTTCATTAAAAAAAATTTTTTTTAATTTAGAAATTAAAAAATTGTGAAAATAAAACAATTTTTTCTTTCTAAAAAAAAATAATTTTTTTAAATTAATCATTTACAAATGTTTATAAAATTAAATGAAAAATATTATAAATGTTCATTGGAAAAATTTTTAAATTTTTTTTGTAAAAAAACTCAAAATACAAAACAAACCAAAAAAAACAAAAAATTTTTTTTTTAATTAAAACTATTTATTTATTTTTTTTTTGTAAAAGAGAAAAAAGATGTGAAAATTAATAAAATTAAGTGAAAATAATAATAATGATAGTAAATATTAAATGAATAATAATAAACTATAAATGAATAAAAGTATTTCTGGATTTTTATTTTTAAAACTTATAAAAATTTTTAACTATTAACTTTTTTTTTAAATAAAATGAAATTTTTGAAAATTTTATAAGTAAACAATTTGTTTTTTTTGTTTTCTTTAGAAACAAAAACTTTTTTTTGTTCAATTGAAACAAAAATTATTTTAATTTTTATGTTTAGGGAAACAAAATAATTTTTTTCAAATATAAAATTTAAGACATTTTCAAATTAAAAAAAAAGATTTTATTTTAAACTTTTAAAAATTAAAAACTTAATTTAAAGTTAGAAAAATTCTATAAGTAAAAAATTTCTTCTAGTTTAAATTAAAAACTTTTTTCAAAAAATAAGAGTTAATAATTGAAAAATAAATTTTCTTTCCAAATTATTTTAATTGTGCTCGTGAGTGATAAAAAAATAATGATAATTAGATAATAAAAAATTCAAGAGAAAATTCTCCTTTTTCTCTCTCTCTCTTACCCTCTGAATGTGAAATAATTAAAAATACAAATGTGTGCAAAAAAAAAAAAAAAAAAATTGAGAGTGGAGAGAGGGTGAAATTTTCGATTCTGTGTCAACTTTAGCCAATATATAACTATATATATATATATATATATATATATATATATATATATGCAATAAGAGAAACTACACTGACATGAACTGAATCAAAAACTTTATCAAACTCTTTGGGAAAATTCACGTCGTATTCTACCTGGAAAATCGCTTTTCTCCAAAGAGAGGTGTTTATTCAATTGTTCTTTTTCTTTCTTTTAACTTTCTTCATGCGGGACAATGATTTTTTTTGTGCTTTTTTGAAAAAATTTCAATTCGTAATCGAAAACTTTTTTTTTATTTTACTTAAAGAGAAAAAAAGTAATTTTTTTTTTCTTATAAAAAGGGAGATTTATTTTTTTCTAAAAAAAGTAGATTTATTTTTGATAAAAAGAAGTGATTTCTATGCAAAAAATAAAAATAAACTTTAAGATAAAAAATTAAAAAAATTTTTTTTTTAATTTGCTAATATTTGTTTTAATTTTTATTTCTTTCAATTTTACAAATTAGAACTAAAAATTTCTATTTATCTTAGAACAAAAATCAATTTAAAGACAGTGAAAAATTGATAGTGTCAAAAAAAATTGATGGACGATAGAAAAAATTGAAAAAATAAAATAATATAGAAATTGAGTGAAAAAACAACAGCAAAAATAATAGAAAAAACTATATATAGTAACAAGAAACAATAACAGAAGTAAGTAATAAAATAATAATAAAATAACAATTGAAAATAAGAAAAAAAAATAAAATTACAAGAAAAACAATAGCAAATTGTCAACAAAAAAGCAATAACAAAATTACAACAAAACCAATAACAAAATTATAATAAAAATTATAACAAAATTACAACAAAAACAATAACAAAATTATTATAAAAATGATAACAAAATTACAAGAAAATCAGTAACAAAATTGCAATAAAAACAATAACAAAATTGTAATAAAAATGATAAAAAAATTACAAGAAAAATAAACACATAAAATAGTTAAACAAAAATAAAAATAACAAAAAAGACGAAACAATAGTAAACATATAACAAAAACAATAGCAAAAACTGTAACAAAATATAAAAAAATAATCGTTAAAAAAACAATAACAAAATTACAAGAAAAGAAAACAAAAAATAGCAAAACAATAATAACAATAACAAAAAAGACAAAACATTTTCAAAAATGTAACAAAAGTAATTACAAAAAAATACAACAAAAAGAAAACAAAAATGACGATCATAAAAAATAACAAGGCAACAATGAGAATAAAGACAAAATACAACAAAAACTAACAAAATATAAAAATTAATCGTGAAAAATAACAAAATAATAACAAAAACAAAATTACAACAATAAAAATTTTTTTTAAATTATGGCAAATAACAAGAAAGGTAATAATAAAAAATAGCAAAATAACAACAACAAAAGAAACTAAACAATGTCAAACATATAGCAATAGAAATAACAAAAAAGAAAATAACAAGACAAGGAAAAATAACTAAACAAAGACATTAATAAAATAGACAACGAAAATAAAAAGAAATAGAATGAAAACAGTATTTATCAAAACACACAAGAAAAATAAAAAACAAAAAAAGAGAATAAAATATAATTAATAACAACATTTTTTACAAAGCAAAAAACAATTGCAAAACGAAAAAAATAAATTGAAAAAAAAATCCGTGACTATTAATAGATAAAAACATAATTATAAAATTATTAATATAAAATAGCAAAAACAAAAATTATTTTAATTGGAAAATTTTGCAAATTATTTATATTATATTTTTCCAATTATAAAATTAAATAAAAACTTTATTTGTTTACTTAAAAAAAAATTTCAAAGTGTTTTAAAATAATATTTATAGTAAAACTAGATTTAAAAAACAAGAAAATTAATAAACATTGAGGAAAAAAAATATCGAAAATTTGATATCCCTTTAATATGAAAGAAGCGCGCAAGGATTTGATTAAATCTGAGCTAGGTAATTTGGTTTCTGTATTTCATCGAATTAACTTCAATAGAATAAACGCCCAGTGAATTACTTCCGCTAATAACGTTTATTTCTCTTTTGCAAAGTACGAATGTCTGTTCATCATTTTTTTTCCTTCAACTTTCGAACTTTTTCCGCTTAGTTTAACTTCACCCTCCGTCTTATCTTAAGTATTATTCCATGCCACGCATGAATTTTTCAAGTCACATACATATGTGTGTGTCAAAGTAAATATACACATAAACTTCTATACATAAACATAGATAAATATTTTATTAATATACAATATAATATACCAAATAATATAAAATAGAATATATCAAATAATATGCTAAACAATATACAATATAATATACCATATAATATAAAATAGAATGTATCAAATAATATGCCAAATAATATACAATATAATATACAAAATAATATGCAAATTAATATACCCTATAATACAGAATTAAATGTAATGTCCAGTGTTCAAAATAAGAGACCATTTAATATACACTATAATATACAGAATAATATACAGTATAATATACAGTATAATATACAGCATAATATACAGCATAATATACAGTATAATATACAAAATAATATACTCTTTAATATAGAATTAAAAATTCTGTATAGTGTACGATATAATAGACCATTTAACAGAAAGTATAATATACAATATAATATGCAACATAATATGCAATTTAATATATCCTATAATGTAGAATTAAATGTACTGTATAGTATACGATATAATAGACCTTTTAATATAAAACAACTAAATATACGGTATAATATACTAAATAATATACCATACAATGTAATATACAATATAATATACACTACACTTTAATATATTTAATTTAATATACATATACAATTAAATATGCAGTATAATATACCACATAATATGCAATCAAATATTCAGTGTACTATACCATCTAATATATTTTAAAATATATTATACCTAATAATATAAATTGTAATTGATATGTAATTTAATATAGAATATAGTATATTATACACTTTAATATGTAGTATAAAATATATTATACACTTTAATATGCAGTACAAAATATATTATACACTTAATTATGCAGTACAAAATATATTATACACTTTAATATGCAGTATAAAATATATTATACGATTTAATAGGCAATATAGTATATCCCATGATATAAAAAAAAATATACAGTATAATATACAATAAAATATACAATCTACTACATAAAACATATTGTACTGAAAAATATACATTATAATATACAATGTAGCATTATGTAAACTTTAATATACAGTTTAGTATAAAATGCAGTCCACCATACACTTTAATCTACGGTATAATATATAATAAAATATGCAATCTACCTCTTAATATAAAGGAAAATATTCATTATAGTATATCGCAAAATTAATAAACAGTATTATTTATCATGTAATTAACCTTTTAATGTTCTAATTATAATAATACATCACATAATATTCAAGAAAATATGCAGTATAATATACCATATAGTATGATATACACTTTAAACTATAGTATAATATATTATAGAATATTACACTTACTTTTCAGTTTATAACATAGTATTTATATTATAATAAATTATGATATATTATAAAATATATTATACCAAATAATATACTGTATATTAAATTGTATAATATTTAATATTTATACTGTATATTTTTTTTTGAATCGTACTGGGTATAATTTTTATGGTATAATTTTTAATATACAAATTGTATATTAATTTGTATAATGTACTGCATATTTTCTTGAATATTATAAGCAATGTTCTATTATATATTTATCTCAGTTAGAAACTAAAAATTAAGTGGTATATTATACTGTATATTAAAGTGTACCGTATATTACATTGGATGCTATATAAACTGCTATAAATACTGTATAAAATTAATTAAATTTTGTATGCAGCAAATATGCAATACCAGTATTACAATTTAATATACATTTTTATAAGGTTTAATATACATTTATATTAATTGTAATAAAAATTATATTAAATTTAATGCAGTGTTTATAATATACAACAAAATATACATGGGAATGAGAAGTAAAATATACTGGACAGTGTATCACACGCTTTAATATACAAATAATGTACCATAGATTTTAATATACAAAGAATATACTGTAGATTTAAATATACAATATAATATATAGTGGACTTAAGTATAATATACCATATACTTTAATATACAGTATGTTATTGTATAATTTATATACTTTTTACTTTAATACACAGTATAATATACCGAATACAGTATAATATACAGTATATACCGAATATACAGTATAATGTACAATTGTACAGTATAATATGCTGTATAATACACAGTATAATATACCGTATATTATAGCATACAGTACATCATTCTGTATAATATACAGTATAATGTACAATTGTACATTATAATATGCTGTATAATGCAAAGTATAATATACGGTATATTATACTGTATATTGTATACAGTATATTGTTCTGTATAATATACAGTATAATATGCTGTATAATGCACAGTATAATATACGGTATATTATACTGTATATTGTATACAGTATATTGTTCTGTATAATATACAGTATAATATGCTGTATAATGCACAGTATAATATACGGTATATTATACTGTATATTATACAGAACAATATACTGTATGCTATAATATACATATGCTGTATAATACACAGTATACTGTGTATTATACAGCATATTATACTGTACAATTGTACATTATACTGTATATTATACAATATATTATACAGAACAATATACTGTATACTATAATATACGGTATATTATACTCTGTATTATACACCATATTAGGTATAATATATTGTATATTAATTTGTATATTATACTGCATATTTTTTAAAAATATTACATGGCACATTATATTGCATATTTTTCTGTGTCATAAACTGCTAATTAAGTGGTATATTATATTGTACATAAATAATATACTGTACAAAAAAATATACAATATAAAATACCATGTAATATTTAAGAAAATATGCAGTATGATATGTACAAATTAATATACAATATATTATACCTAATAATATGCAAGAAAATATACAGTATAATATATTATATAATATACAATGTAATATAAAAAATGCAGTATAATACACCGTACGATAAAAAATATAATTTACAACTCAATATAAGATAAAATATCCAATATAATATACAACATGAGAGAAAATATTAAATTTATTCGGAATTTTTTTTTTATTACGCTTTGTATAATATTTTAATAAATATGGTAAAATATACAAGAAAACTTAAATGAAATCCAGTGGCAATGTAAAATTAAAAAAAAAATAAAAATTTTTTATTCATCGCCACTTACCTCTATTTTCACTGTGCATTAGAAGACATAACATGGCAAACAAAAATTTCAAGATAGCACACGGCCAATTGGCATTCAGCCTATTCTAAAATCCGGAAATGTACAAAGTTCAGCTTAAAAAAAATGAACGAAAAGAAAAATTTTAATTCGACAATAGTCGATAATACTTAAAAATAGAAATCGTGTTTATAAATATATTGGAGATAGGTTTGCTGTTCTACGTGATGATACATTAATGTGAATAGAAATTTTTCTTTCTGTTGTATTTACATTTTGAAAAAGAAGAAAAAAAACAAATTCTCAGTATTTGAATTTTTTTTTTTTTTTTTTGATAAAACGCTTTTGTTTTAAAAATAAAATTTCGACATTAATTTTTTGTTCTTTTTTTCATTAATTAATTTTCGTGAATATATCAAACAGAATTTTGATAAATCATTATAAATAAATAAATAAATAAAGTGAAAAAGTAATAAATAATAAAATAATAAATAAATAAACAAAATAATGAAAAAAAATAATTTAACTAATAAACGAATATATAAATAGAAACGAATAAATAAACGAAAATAAATAAATAAATAAACAGTAATAAGTAAAAAGAAATAAATAAATAAAATAAATTAATTAAAAAAAATTTTTTTTAAATTTTTTTGTATTAAAAAATACAAAAATATTTTAAGAAATTGATAATTATTCCTTTTATTTGCAACAATTTGTCGAGTAAGTAAAAATAAAAGTTTTCTATATTGTAAACTTGAAAAATTTTCTAGAGATACTTCTTTTTTTTCTTTTTCTCTTTTTGTTTTAATCTCATTTAATTTTACTTTCTACTTCATTCTGCGTGTTTCTGTCCATTACTGTGGATTTAATAAAAATTTTCATTTTCCCTCAAAGACATTTATGTGTTAGCTAGATGAAAATAATTAAGTAAGCGAATATTATTATTTTCTGTTATAATTATAATAATAAAAATAACAAAATTTAATAATAAATAAATAATAATTATTAAAAACCTAAAATAAAAAAATAAAATAAAAATATAATTAAGTTCTTTTTTAACTTTCATTATTATTATTATTATTATTATTACTATTATTATTATTATTATTATTATTATTATTATTATTATTAATATTATTATTCCTTTATTTATTACTTCCTCATAGAGGAAGTATTTTTTATTATTATACTTTTTATTATTATTAAATTTACTTTTTACAAGTTTATAAAAATTAAATAGTCCAAATGAATTAAGCAATAAATTACAGTTTATAAGACTAGCCTCGCGGTTAAAAACATCGTTTTTTTCTATTAAAAAAAATCTGGGGTTCGAGCCCCGGTAACGAAATTTAAAAAAAAAAATTTCTTCGCGCTCGTTTTTTTAAATATATTTTATTTTTTAATAATAAGAAATCTTTTTGTAAAGTTTTTATTACAAAAATATTAAATATGATTAAATTTTATAAAAGTTTAGAAAAAAAGTAAAAAAAAAATTATGTTGACTTGAAAAACTTTCCGTCTCTTTTCCCTTTTCTTTGTGAACAATATTTAATAAAAATAAAAGAAGTCAAAGCGAACACAAGGCAAATATTAATTTAGTTTTTCTCCGTTTGTATAAATTTGTCAGCTTTATGCAAATTATTATTTTTCCATAAAACGAAACTCCGTTTCAGCTTTTAGCTAAGTTTCGACAAAAAAAAAAATAGAAAAAGAAAAAAGACGAGAGAAAGAGAGAAAAATATGTGTGCACTTTGTTACCAAAGCTAACTTAAATGTTTAATATCTTTTAATATTTTTTTTTTACTTTTTACGTTTTTTTACTATTCTCTTAATTACATTGTTTTTATTATTAATTATTTCTATTTTTTGCTATTATAATTTTTAATATCATTATTCAATAATACTATTATTTTATAATAAATAAATAATTATAATTAGTATTTTTACCATTAAATATTTTTTTTATAAATTAAGAAGTAAAAAATAAAGAATAAATATTAAGAAAAAATTGTAAATAGTCAAAAGTCTAGATTTGGTAATAATAAAAGACGATTGAATAATCATGCGATATTCTAAGTGAAGCGAAGCTCCCAATTTCCGTCCCCTCTCGCAAAAGTTTTCCTCAATTCAAGTGATGAAAACTTGGCGAAGAAATCTAATTAATCCCCAGGGGGCAGAGAGAGAAAGAGAGAGAGAGAGAGAAAGAGAGAGGAAGAGAGATAGGAAAAAATAGTGTGTGTGAGAGAGAAAGATATTGCATTATTCACATCAATTCAAGTGGTTGAAAATTTACTCAATTTAGAATTTTTATTACAGACAAAATGTGATGAGAAAGATTTTTCATTCATAGAAAGAAGAAGAAGAAGAAGAAGGAGAAGAAAAGTAGGAAAATCTTTCTAATTCACGTGAATGGATTATTTCAATTTTATACATACAATCATTATTTTCCCCTCTTTTTCATCCCCCCCCTCTCTCTCTCTCTCTATCCCAGTTGAGAAATTTTCCCTCAATACAAAATAAAGTGTAAGTAAAAGTAAATTATCCTGAAGAAAAAAAAATGACACTATACACTGAAGTTGAGATGAGAGACGCTATTCGATTTATTATCGTTTGCTGTGAAGACAACGAGCCAATAAGTGAAAGAATGGAGCAGTGGATAGGGAATTAAAAAAAAACAACGAACGGAAATTTTTTTTTTAAATAATAAAGAGGAGTGGAAAGTGAAATAAAAATGGAGTTTTATAATTTTTCAAATGACTCAATGCCACCTGATGATGACGCCGATTCAGGAATTCCATGGGCTGAATATGGACCAGTTTTATTCATCTATTCACTTACGTTTATGCTGGGATTTATTGGTGAGTGATTTTCTTGCTTATTGTATTTTTTGTTAATTTATTAACTATTTGTATTCCTTTTTGAATTTTATTCCGAACATCTATTTTATTTCCTCTTCGAAACACTCTCTCGCTCTTCTTCCCTTTTTAATTTTTCCTTACCCTTTCCATTCTTCTTTACCCCCTCCATTTCCTTTTCATTTCTACCCATATTGTTTTACTCTTCCCTCTCCTTATTCACTTTTGCAAAATTTTTCCTTAATCCTTCCATTCTTTACCCCCTTTATTCCCTTTTTATTTCTTCCCCTATTGTTATACTTTTCCCTCTTCTTATTCTCTTTTTCAAAATGTTAATTTACTGGTTGTCTTTATTGGCCTTAATTCCCTTCCTTCCGTTATGCTTTTAACACCCCCCCTTCTTTTTCCTATTATCCCTCTCCCCACTTATCTTCTACTTCCTCTATTAACCTTACGGATACCCTTTCCTTCCTCCCTTACCCATTTCTTAACTTTTTTCTTTTAACTCCATATCCAATCCTTCTCCTTCATCCTTTCCTCCGTTTCTTTCTCTTCCCTCTTCTTATTTTCTTTTCCAAAATATTCTTAATATTTTAATATTTAATATTCAAAATATTCCTTCCGTTACGATTTTCTTAACACTCCTCTTCTTCTTTCCGTTATCCCCTCTTCCCACTCATCTTCTTTTTTCCATTAATAAATGGTAAATAGAGAAAGTAGAAGAGGAATTATCTCCTCTCCCCACTCCTCTTCTACTTTCTCTCTATTTACCCCCATGTTCCCTCCCTCCCTTCCTTTTTTCATATACTCTTCTTCTATTTCCTTTTCTTTATTGACCTTCATTTCGAACCTCCTTTTCATTTCCATTTCTAAATACTCCCTTCCCACTTTTTCCTTGTTCCTTTATACTTACCCCTACCTTTCTCGTTTTCCCTCTCGTTACCTTTTTAATTTCTACCTCCATTGTCTTTTTTCAATTAAACCATCCTATTCACTCTCTTCCTCTCCATTACTGACCTTTCGGATAATCCTTTTCTTCCTCCTCTACCCACTTCTTCCTTTTCTTTCCTTATGTATATAATCCTTTCCTTTATCCCTTCCCCTATTGTCCTACTCATTCCTCTCCTTAATCTCTTTTCCAAAATCTTCTTTTACTTCTTGTCCCTTATTCCCTTAAAGTACTCTCCCTTCCGTTACGCTTTTCTTAACAAACCAGTTTTTTTATATTATCCCCTCTTCCCACTCGTCTTCTACTTTCTCTGACCTCCATGTTTCCTCCTTCCCTTCCTTTTTCCACATACTCTTTTTCTATTTCCTTTCCTTTATTAACCTTCATTTCGAACCTTCTATCTATTTCCATTTCTAAACACTCCCTTCCCCATTTTTCTTTGTTCCTTTTCACTTTACCCCTACCTTCTTCCTTTGCCCTCTACCTTTTTTAATTTCTACCTCCATTGTCTCCATTACTGACCTTTCGGATAATCCTCTTCTTCCTCCTTTACCCACTTCTTCCCTTATCTCCATATCTAATCCTCTTCCAATATCTCCTCCCCATTGTCCTATTCTTCCTTCTCCTTATTCTCCTAAAATCTTCTTTTACTTCTTGTCCCTTATTCCCTTAAAGTACTCTCCCTTCCGTTACGCTTTTCTTAACAAACCAGTTTTTTATATTATCCCCTCTTCCCACTCGTCTTCTACTTTCTCTGACCTCCATGTTTCCTCCTTCCCTTCCTTTTTCCACATACTCTTTTTCTATTTCCTTTCCTTTATTAACCTTCATTTCGAACCTCGTATCTATTTCCATTTCTAAACACTCCCTTCCCCATTTTTCTTTGTTCCTTTTCACTTTACCCCTACCTTCCTCCTTTGCCCTCTCGTTACCTTTTATAATTTCTACCTCCATTGTCTCCATTACTGACCTTTCGGATAATCCTCTTCTTCCTCCTTTACCCACTTTTTCCCTTATCTCCATATCTAATCCTCTTCCTTTATCTCCTCCCCATTGTCCTATTCTTCCTTCTTCTTATTCTCCTAAAATCTTCTTTTACTTCTTGTCCCTTATTGCTGCAAGTACCCTCCCTTCCATTACGCTTTTCTTAACAAACCAGTTTTTTTTATATTATCCCCTCTTCCCACTCGTCTTCTACTTTCTCTGACCTCCATGTTTCCTCCTTCCCTTCCTTTTTCCACATACTCTTTTTCTATTTCCTTTTCTTTATTAACCTTCATTTCGAACCTCGTATCTATTTCCATTTCTAAACACTCCCTTCCCCATTTTACTTTGTTCCTTTTCACTTTACCCCTACCTTCCTCCTTTGCCCTCTCGTTACCTTTTTCAATTTCTACCTTCTTTGTCTATTTTTCAGTATCCCATCCTATTCACTCTCTTCCTCTCTTTTACTGACCTCTTGGATACCCTTTTCTTCCTCCTTAACCCATTCCGTACCCTCCTTTCTTTTACTTCTTACTACTCTTTATTACTCCTTATACTCCTTATTTTATACCATATTGTTGGTACAAAAATTGTTTACTAGTCCCAAACTATTGCTAGAACAATTCCAATTAATATCTGAGTCATCAAAATTAATTTAATTCAAAATTCATAAAAAGTAACCAGAGCCGATAATCAGCAGAAGATGAAACATTATTTTTTACTGACCTTTATCTTCGGTTTACTAACAATTGTGTAACGAAGTGTTTCGTTACTTACTCGGCCTAATTTGCAATGTGTAGAAAAAGTATTTTCAGAGTTTAGAGAATCGTTTGTTTGTCTCTTTTTTATTAGAGGTATGTCTCGTTTGTTGTCAAGTCTCTTGTATATTTCTTTCGTATCAGCGTTTGAGGAGCTGTGGTTTTCGTGAAATCAGAATTTAAATGATTTTGCGCATGATTAATTGTCAGCGTACGTCACATGGTCAGCGACCCTTTCCAGGTTTCTTTCAGGTGCCGTTCCGTGGGGATAAGAAGAAGGGTTCTTCCGAAAATTGCGAAGTTTTCCGAGAAGTCGTGACGCGGTTTTTGACGAGTGTCAGAATCGAGAGATAGTTTGAGATTATGATTAATTAATTTTGTAGTTTTGTTAATTTCGAGTTTTGAGTTTTATTAATAAATAGTTATTGTTTGTTAATTATGTGTTTTAATGTGTTTTGCGTTCATTGTGGATCGAAGGAGAGTGCCAGAGAATAGAGAATATTGGTAAAGTCTCAACGGTCGTGTTTGAAAGGTTCGTTTCGTTGTTCGTTGTTCAGTTGACAGTTGCATCACGTCATCGTCTTGGAAGAATTCCCCGATGAGATTTTGTGTTTTGAGAAAGCAGTGTTTGCGAGTAGCAGAGTGTTTCTTGGACGGGATTCGATGCAAATGTTTCGGGTTGAATATTTAAATATATTAATTCGATTCATCAGTTAATCTCTACGTCACAATTGTTAGTACCAAATTTGTTTACTGGTCCCAAACTATAGTTAGAACAATTGCTATTAATATCTGGGTCATCAAAATTAATTTAATTCACAATTAATAAAAAGTAACTACAGCCGATAAATAATCAGCAAAAGATGAAAAAAATTATTTGACTGAACTTTATCTTCTGTTTACTAAAAGTCGTTAATACCAAAATTGTTTACTGGTTCCAAATTATTGCTAGAACAATTCCAATTAATATCTGAGTCATCAAAATTAATTTAATTTACAATTCATAAAAAGTAACCACAGCCGATAAATAATCAGCAAAAGATGAAAAAAATTATTTGACTGAACTTTATCTTCTGTTTACTAAAAGTCGTTAATACCAAAATTGTTTACTGGTCCCAAGCTATTGCTAGAACAATTCGAATTAATATCTGGGTCATCAAACATAATTTAAGGCAATAGTTGCTTTAGAAGCCGAAAAAATAGTGTTTTTTCAGAAATATTTTTGAAAGGAAAGGAAATGATTGCGGTAAACGGTGCCAGCAAAACTTTTTCATTGTTGACCGATGATAATATTGAGAAGCTGCATGGTAGAAAGCACAGCTGAATAGCCCTGCTCGTTGAAAACGTCTGCAGCCATATTTGCTGCTATAACCAGAATTTACGTTTGTCGGATTTAGGCGCCACACAATCGAATTGAACGCTTCGTTCGAATTTTGAGTGTGTTTACACCTGCTCGAAGCTCGGCCACTAAAACTGCTCTAGCTTCTAAAATATGTTGAATTGGCCTCTGAAATTTTGAAGACATATTCTTGTATAGTTTTGGAATAGATTTAAGACAGAACCAAAAAATTGATTTTTTAAGCCTGAAAAGCAGACTACTGCCTTCATTTACAATTCATAAAAAGTAACCATAGCCGATAATCAGCAGAAGATAAAGAAATTTTTTTTATGCGAATTTCATCTTCAATTTACTAACAATTCTTGGTACAAAAATTGTTTACTGGTCTCAAACTATTGCTAGAACAATTGCAATTAATATCTGGGTCATCAAAATTAATTTAATTCAGAATTCATAAAAAGTAACCACAGCTGATAATCATCAGAAGATGGAAAATTATTTTTTGAGCGAACCATGAAGCGTCACATTTGTAGAATTCATTTTCTTCTTGCTGTTTGGTTGTCCTTTAGTGAAAAGCCCCGCCACCAAGACAAGGTCTATCGAACATATCCATGATGTATTATGATGTTTAATCGATTTTCAAAAATTCAATGAATTCACTTAAAGCTTGTTACTCGTGGTTTATTGAGCTTCGCAGATTACAAATATGATTTGTAAAAATTGTTAATCTTTAGAGCCCAGTTATTGAGATTTCCATCTTGATTGCAAAGGGGTTAAGCAAATATAGAGGAAGTGGAGTGGAGCTAATTTTACATACAGAATGGGGGAATGGGCCTATTCAAAGTGAATACGGGAATAGTGCAAGTGGAGTAGAAATAAGAAAAAAGATAAGAGTTTTAAATTACCGCAATAATTTATAAAACAAAACTAAAATGAGAATTTAAAAAAAGTTCGCAATTAAGAAATGAAAGGGGAAAAAAATTCCTTCTCTATTCTCCGGTGTCGGAAATATCCCCTTTTCACAAGTAATATTACTGAGAGGAAAAATGAAACTGTAAAATTAAAAATTTCACATTATTTCATTAATTGTAAATTGTTGTCAAATTAAACTTCGATTAGGCAGTGAAATTTCATTTTTTATAATTAAGAAGAAATTTTTGCGGATCTTTCCCATCCTTTTCCCTCACCTCCACTTCTCTCTATCTACATTCTCCCTCCCTCTCCTCACTCTCCATCACGAAATGCCATCATCCTCGTCGTCGACGAGCCGTTTAAACCATTTCGAGTGTATATACGTATACAAACGAAAATCGATAAATGCTATTTATGCTATAGAGAATAATACATATGCAACTGAACCAGAGAATTTAGGAGCATTCTTGCATTGTATCAATAAATTCATTAAGGGGGATGGGAATCGACGAGTACGGGATAGAGAGAGAGGACAGAGATTAAATGTTGTTTTACTTGGAAAAAGGAAATATTGCACGAACCAATTGAAATTTGTTTTTTATTTTTCGAATTTGAATACAACAAGTAATTAAATTTTGTTTCTGTATACTGAATTAAATTTGTCACCCAAAAAAAAAAATCATTTCGATTCTATTTGATTTAAATTTTCGCTCTGAAATTGAAAATTCTTTCGCTTCTAAAGAATTTAGATTTGATTATAGGATAAAAAATAATTTACTTATAAATCTTGTTTTGAAAATTAATTTGTTTTGATGTAAATGAAATTTTATTCATTTAAATTATTTTATTTCGAGGAAAAAAATAATTTTACCTAATAAAAATTTATAATATAAATTAAAAAAATGATTTTTTTTTCTTTTGGGAAGAAGGGGAATTAAATTAAAAAAATTATTTTCCACTAACTTAAAAAAAGTTTTTTCAAAAGTTAACATCAAACAATATGTATTTTTTCATTAATCCACTTGATCAATTAAATAAATAAATAAATATTGCAAACAAAGTATTATTAAATGTCAATATTATAAATAAAAGAAAATAAAAAAAAAATAAAATTTGTCGCCGTCCCCTTATTTTCAACATTTTTTTATTGGTTCGCCCCATATTGGAAACTTTGGACGTTAGCCAGAATATTAATGATATCTCCCGCGCTCTCACTATATAACGGAAGGAATTAAACAAATATATCAGATAAATGCAGTCGCTTTAACGAGTTGTTTTCCCAACAAATATGTGTTTTAGTTTTGTTCAAATATTTGACTCTTTATTTTCAAAACATGCTGGCGAATTTTTTTTTATCTATACTGTCAATTTTATTTGACTCATTATTATTTCTGTTAATATTTTTATTGACACTTTTTATTAATACTTTTACTATTATAATTATTATTACTATGACAATAATTAATAATCATAATTATTATTATCAAAATTATTATTATCATAATATAATTTTTATGATAATATAATTATTTTTATTATATAATTATTATACTCAAAGAAAAATCTTTGCTCTATAATACTTCATTGTAATTGAATAATTTTTTTTAATTTTTTCTTGTAGTTGAATATAATAATTATCTTTTAAACAATTTTTTGTTATCAATAATTATTATGAAACATTTTCGTATGGATAAAAAATCTTAATAAAAATTTCTACCACCAGTAGAATTTTTTTTTTTTTTCTTATATATAAATACTAAGGAATATAATTTTTTAAATGAAGAAAACAATAAAACAACGTTGTTTCTCGCATTGAAGAGAAAATAAAACAAAAATTGTAGGAAAATAAAAAAAAATGTTTTTTAAATTTTTTTGTTTAACAAAAATTTATTTTGTTTGTATTTTGTTTTACAGGAAATGTCGTCATTATTGCGTCAACTCTTTGCCCAAGACTGCGACCATTACCAGCAACACCCACTAATGTCTTTCTTGGTGGTCTCGCCACAGCCGATCTTTTACTCATCATCTTTTGCATTCCAGTCAAGGTATTATTTTTTTTCTCTACTTCTTTTTTTTGCGAACACGCCACTAATTACCTTCAATATTATTAACTACACAACTAATCACTTAAAGTACTTATAAATCATTTTCTATTTTAAATTGACAATTATTCTTTTTCTATCAACTATAAATGTCGAAAAAAATAATTGTAAAACAATAAAAAAATGTTGAAGAAGAGAAAAATTTATTAAATTAAAAATCGATGTAGCAATTTTTATAAAAAATCGATTTTTAAAATCGACCACTATCAAAATAACGACCTGCAATTTTGAATTTTAAAAAAACTGACATCGGATTTGTAATCAGCGACCCCAAAAACCCCCAAGTAACAAGTTTCAAGTGAATCCGATCAATATTTGGAAATTGTCCGCCATATTGGATCGGCCATTTTGAATTTTGAAAAACTGATTTCAGATTCGTAATTCAATATTTAATAAATATTAATTATAATGAAATATGATAAAATATATTTATAAATTAATATTTATTTAATATATTAATAAAATATAACATTACCTTAATAATAAAATAAAAAAAAATTATTTTTTATCGTAACAAAATTGTTTTATGAAATTTATTATTTAATTATTTGACAGTTTAAGCTTACATAACCTGTTATAATCTACGCTAAAATATTTAATATACATTATATTAAAATACAATAATATAATAAAATATAAAAAATTAATTCCTATTGTTGTAAAATTGTTTTATAAAATTGAGAAAAGAAGACAAAAATTGCACTATTCAAAAAAAAGTCGGGCGTTAAAGGATAAAATCAATATGTGGATATAATTATTTTTGTTTTGTTTCGATTCAATTTAAATTACAATAATAATAATTATTAACTGAAATTGAAATGGGAAATACTGAAATTTATATTCAACGAAATAATTACCCAGTAATAATGTAAGTTAATTTAAACAGGGAATATTGTAAATTAGATTTGAGATGTTTGCCGTGGAAAAATAAACAGAAGTGTTCTCAGTTAAATTGAATAACTTGGAGTATATGTATATAGTGAGAAACATTGTCAATATACTCGATGTTTTTTTTTATTTCCATCAATGAGATCTGTTCAATTATTATTAGCATTTATTTTCACTGTAATATATTATGTTAATATTATTTTAGAAAATTTGAATTTTTAATACATAATAAACAATATATTGGTGACGTTTTTGTTTGCCTCGTAAACTTAAAAACTGCCATGAATTCTAATATAAAACCTTCAAATTTTTCTATTTCTGACAATGATTTCTTTTCAAATAACTTAATTTTTGAATGAACTACCATCAAATTATTATCTAGAAATTATTTAATAATTAATTTTACTTAAATATTTCAAAATTAATTGAATTTTAAAAGAGTTGCGTTTACAATTTTTATAAATATTTATTTAAATTTATTAAAAATTATAAATAATTCTATTTAATGATTAATTTTACTTAAATATTTTAAAATTAATTGAATTTTAAAAGAGTTGCGTTTACAATTTTTATAAATAGATCAACTTCAAAAGATTTTAATTTGAAATTTTATAAAATTTATAATTATTTATAATAATAAAATTTATAAAATTTCAATTTTGAATGAATTTCATTAGAAAAAAGAACTTAGATTTTTGAAATATTTTAATAATTCAAATTCTTCTTAAATTAGTTAATTTAAGTTAATAAACTATAAACAATTAATTGTTATCGTTATAAAATTATGTTTTATAAAATTTACTATTTAATTATTTGACAGTTTGAGCTTACATAACCTGTATAATGTACGCTACAATATTTAATATATATTATATTAATGTACAATAATATAAAAATATAATAAAATATAAAAAATTAGTTGTTATTGTTGTGAAATTTTTTAAAGAAATTTATTATTCAATTTTTTGACAGTTTGAGCTTAAATAACCTGTTATAATCTATGCTACAACATTTAATATATATTATATTAAAAAATAATAATATAAAAATATAATAAAATATAAAAAATTAATTGTTATAGTTATAGAATTGTTTTATGAAATTTATAACAATTTGAGCTTAAATAACCTGTCATTATCTATGCTACAATATTTAATATATATATTATATTAAAATATTTCAATAATATAAAAAAAATATACAAAATTAATTGTCATTGTTGTAAAAGTGTTTTATAAAACGCATTATTTTTTTTCTTTGACAGTTTGAGCTTAAATAACTTGTTATAATTTATGCTACAATATTTTTATATATTTTATAATAAAAATATAATAATAATAATATAATAAAAAATTAGTTTTTATCATTAAAAAATTATGTTGCATGAAATTTACTATTTATTTGACAATTTCAGTTTAGGAATTTTTTTAAACGTTATAATCTTCAAATACATGTAAAATATTATTTTCTTGGAAGGCGGGATAAAAAATAAATCTCGATTACAAAATTAAAAAAAATAACGTACAAGTAAGTATATACTTTATGTAAATTAGAAGTTTTAGTTTCTCGTTTTACACGCGAGGTCTATCTTGTGAAGTAAATTTTGCGCCTCGACATCAATCCATTTTCCACTTCATGTCCGTCAATCTGGCTTTAAAGGGCGCGTTTACTAGGAATTGCATTGTTCATTAAACCTCCTATCAAGTGACAAGTAATAATCACAAGTCACGGATAAAATTAAAATGAAAATGAAAAAATTTTATTTCTTCTTTTTTCTCTATTTATAATTTCTCTCTGTCTCTCCTATTTTTTTGTAAGGGAAACTTTAAATTACATTTTTATTTTCTTTCATTTTTCAAAGTACCCCAACTGCTCATTTTTTTGTTTCATTTACTATTTTCAATACCCATATAATTATTTGTGCATTATTAAGAAATTTATCATTCATTAAATTCATGTCTCGTTAATCGATATAATGGTTATTCATTTGACCTAATTCTTGAATTTTTCATCGGTAATTTATAGGAATTGGGAGAAGAAAATTAATTTGTCATTTTTATTATAGAAAGCAATTTTATTTTGTTAAATGTTAAGAATATGAATTAATTTTTGTTATAAAATTTGTATGCGAAATTATGTTAATAATAGAATGTAACAATAAATAATGATCTTGTAATTTTTATCTATTATTTTATCATTATTATTATTTTGAATAATAAAAAATTTGTTAAAATATAATTACAATGAAGATTTGTCAAAAAAAAAAAAAATGTTTACTTTACAACTAAGAAAATAAATAAAAAAACAAAGACATTTGAATTTATCACATATTTTTCTAGTGATTTATGTATCTCTAAATAATTGGACGCTTATTACTTTTAAATGAAAAAACAAATCTTTATTGATAGTAAATTGTCACTCTTGAAAGTCAGAAATTCATTCAAATTGAAATAATGTTCAATTATTGTTTTGATCTTTTATGAATGACGTGACATAGTGTAAAAGCGAGAGAGAGAGAATATTCTCTATTTGATATTTGATATCTTGTATTTTGATACAGAATACCACGTATTCAATTTCAGTTACTTTAATATTTTTTCTTTTTATTTTATTTCCCATCAATTCTTTTTTTTTCGTTATTTTTTCCAACGACTGACAACGATATTTGTACCGACATTCGAATGACGTTTGAAAAAAGGAATTAAAAAAAGGGCAAACAATTTCTTCTTCTTTTTTCATCACAGTGTTATTTGATAAAGTTTACTTTTTATCTCCAATTTTTTATTGGATTGAAATTGAGTTATTAAAAAAAAGTCTCTACTTTAACAAATATTGTTTTCCGGTATTTTCTGTTTTTTTCCGTTCTGTCTCTAAAACAATGTATCCGTTTAAAAATTTTGTTTTGGAAAAAATTTTTTCATTTTAAAACAATAACAAGAGAAAATTATTGTGTTTACAATATTATTTTCTACATTTATTTTCAGATAATATTGAAGAATGTATTTAGTTTTTTTATTTTTCCCAAAGACAATGAAGAGAAATTTTTTTTTTAATTAAAGTATATAATAAGAAATAATTAAATAATAAATGAAAATTATAGAAATAAAAAAAAAAATAAATAAAAGTATATAAATTTAAATAATAAATATTATAAAATGAAGAATATAGTAAAAAGATTAAAAATATATTCGAAAATAAATAAAATACAAGAAAGTAAAAATTTTTTTTTAAATCAGAAACTAAAAAATTAATATGTGGAACAAATCTGTGTAGTGGTGGAAAAAAGAGGAAAAAACTTTTTTTTTCTTATCCTTTGAAAAAGTGTATCATGCTACAATTAAAGGGGGAGATTTTATTATTCTCCTCTGGGGTACGCTTTTCTTACCCTCTAAAGCAAGTCATCGTATGAAGAAAAAAAAAGTTCTCTATTCATTCATTGGAAGTCTTAAGTTTTTCTTTTAAAAGTCTTCTTTTTCTTTGCGTCAAGAATTAAAGAGAGACAGAAAGAGAGAGGCAGACGTAATCACAAGTAGGGTGCGAAAACTTTTTTGATATAATAATTTTTCCTCAGCCATTATGAAACTAAAATTTATTTCCTCAAAAAGAAAATATACTAAATTATAAAAGTACAATTCGAATTTTTTTCTTCATATTTATAATTTTATTTTTCAAACATTTTTATTTGTATATTTCATTAATTTTTTAAATTTATTATTTAGTCCTACTTATTACTTTATTTTTATTTTATAATTTATTATTTTATTTATTTTTATTATTATTTATTTGATGGAAAATTTAATTGATTTTAATTTATTAATCAATCGTTATTTGACAGTTCGAGTTTAAGTAACCGATATCTATATTTTATTATTATAATATTAAAAATAATTTTTATTATAAAATTATATTTAATGAAATTTATTATTGAATTATTTGACAGTTTGAGCTTAAATAACCTGTTATAATCTATGAAAAAGTATTTAATATATATTTTAATAAAACACAGTATTATAATAATAACATACAAAACAAATTTTTATTGTTAAAAATTCCTT